AAAAATATTCAGTGCCCATATAAAGCTTATTAAAACCTTAAAATTTTATGTAGGTATGTATATAGATAAAATAAACTCACTCACAACTTCTCATCTATCCATTAAAAGACTCAAAACAATTTAAAGATAAAAAAAATCATATTTTTAGAGTTTTTCCAATTCTAAAATGAAGAAATGAGATCTGTCAAAAAACAGAGGGGAGGTTAGTCTCACTTTTAGATTTTAGAAGTTATTTTACTAAATCATATACTTTATAGCAAGTCTTCAATGAATGTGAGTATCTTTACTACAAGGTAGGTGAAAGATACTGTAACTCCATGTTATTTCCTCCATGTCAAATTGATAACATCTTGGGACCACCAGATGGCATAATGGTTACATCACTTGACTTCCACATAGTTGACCATGGTTCGAGTACTGGACCCGACAGCTTAAAATTCACTCCAGGCATGCATGTGTATGTGCATGACTAAGATCCCAAGAGGAGGATGGACAATGGATTGCTGCATGGCCATCTCACTGGGGGTAATTTCTCGCTTTCTGTCTCTCTGGTAAGCACGTGCACCCTATAGCAAAGATCTTTCTTTAAAAAAAAAAAAAAAAGATAACATCTAAGTAGGACCAGCTATACAATTTATGAACTTAGTGCAAAACTGAACAAGCTCCTTGTTCAAACAAACAAGCAAACAAAAGAATGTCAAGATGGGGACCAGCTGATGGCACAGTGGTTAAGGCACTGGACTCCCACATGACTGACCAAGGTTTGAACCTTGAGATTTGAAACTCATGCCAGGCATGTGTCCACACGTGACCAAAATCTGAAGAGAAGGGAGTGTGGGATGGCCATCGCCCCCGGGGGCAATTTCTCACTTTCTCTCTGGTGGGTGCATGCATCCTATAGCAAAAAATTTCTCTGGAAAAAAAAAGAAAAAAGAAAAAAAGAATGTCAGGATGGCTGCAGTAGAGCATTACACCAACTATTGGGCCTTTCTAAGTGTGGGGCCCTAAGTGACTGCAGCGGTCCAATATGTGTAAAGCCAGCTGTAAACATACATCTATTTCAAATACACCCATGGAATGCAAAGACCTTAGTTATCTTTGTCCCATGAATCCCTAGTACTAGACTAGGCATATAAGAGATTCAAATGTTTGTTGAATGAAAAATTAAGTCTCACAGTTTTCCAAATCAATGAGAAATGCTTATTTTATTATTATTATTTTGGAGAGGTTTTCGCTATAGAGTGTGTGTGCTCGCTAGAAAGAGAGACAGAGAGACAGAAAGTGAGGAATCACCCCCCGGGGGGATGGCCACACTGCAATCCCTTCTCTTCCTTCTCCTCTCAGGATCTTGGGCACGGATGCACACGTGCCCGGTTTGAGTTTTAAACCACCGGGTGGGGGACGCGAACTGGTCGACTACATGGAAGTCCAGCGACATAGCCATTATGCTAACTGCTGATCCCCGAGAAATGCTTATTTATAGACAAGACAAATTATACCCTGATAACAGGAGTCTGTTAGTTATATGGTTAATAATAAATTCTTGACTCCTCTAGTACTGAATAATTTGTACATTATATCCTGGCTTCATGAGAGCCTGAGGCCACATATAGTGAAAGTTTTTTTGATTCATTCGACAAATATTTATTGAATCACTCTGTCTGTCTTGGCCAGTAAGGCACTGAGGATCCAAAAACAAATAAGATAACCCCTGCCCTCAGGGAGCTTACAGTTTAGCATAAGAATTTCCAAACTTCCTGAAAATGTTAATTTACCAGAAAGCACAGTTTAAAAATGAAAGATGTAGGGCCAGCAGGTGCCATACTGGTTAAGGTGCTGGACTCCCATGTAGTTAACTGTGGTTTGAGTCACAGATCTGGTGGCTTGAAACTCACACTGGATGTATATGCATGCATGTGTGCCCAAAATCCCAAGAGGATAATGGAGGGAAAGGGATTGCAGAGTGGCCATCCCCTCTGGAGAGGTGATTTCTCGCTTTCTATCTCTGGTGAACACACACTCCCTACAGCAAAAATAACTCAAAAAAAAAAAAAAAAAGGAAAGAGCTGAAAGATGCAGTAAAATTAAAAGAAATATTAATTGTTCACCTTTCATATAAAGACTATAAAATCTAAATGAGAAACAAACTTAGGAAAGCTGAAAATTCTATTTTAAAGACTTTGGACCAGATTTAAATTTTAAAAATCATTTTATTATCTCTGGGTGACATTTTTATGTATAGTGACATTTATAAACACATACATAAAGTGTATATATGTGAGATGTGTTCTTTGGGGCTTTTGAGAAAACCTCTATCTCTATCACTAATTCACTTATGACTAAAGAGAGCAGTAAAAAGGTAAATTTGAGACTTTCTTTTTGATAATTTCAATTTAAATTTGAATGGAAAAAATTCTTAGAGGACATAATTTAGCGTCGTCTCTTGGATATATATTTTAGTATAATCTTCTATAACAAAACTAAACTGTTTTGTAGTAATGTGATTTTAGCATATTTTAATGTTACTGACAAAGTTTAATGGCATCTAAAATATTAAATGTATCTAGACTTGTCATTTTTTCCCTCCGCACTCTTCCTCTTATTCTTAAAAGCATGAAAAGACCCTTGTGCAAGTACAGAGCCTTTGCTGTTGCTTTGCTGTACTTCAGTACCTTGCTGTTTCTTTTTTTTTTTGGGGGGGGGAGAGATTTTCACTATAGGGCGCGTGCGCTCGCCAGACAGACAGAGAAACAGAGAGACAGAAAGCGAGAAATCACCCCCCAGGGGGGATGGTCACGCCGCAATCCCTTCTCCTCCATTCTCCTCTCGGGATCTTGGGCATGCACGCACACGCGCCCGGCGTGAGTTTTAAGCCACCGGGTCCGGGACGTGAACCACGGTCGACTACGTGGGAGTCCAGCGACATAGCCATTACGCTAACTGCTGGTTCCCGTTGTTTATTTCTTAATCTAGCGGCATCCTTAATTTGCAGTATCATAGTTCTAACTTTAAAAAAATCACTAGCATAGGTGCAGCAGGTGGCGTGGTGGTTAAGACACTGGACTCCCACATGGCTTATTATGGTTCCAGTCCTGTACCTAGGAGCTTGAAAATCATGCCAGGTGTGTGTGCAATGCATGCCCAAAACCCCAAAAGGGAAATGGAAAAGGATTATGCTGTGACCATCCCCCTAGGGGAAAGGGAGGAAGGAGTTCCCACTTCCCCTCACTCTGTCTCCTCTCTCTCTGGTGAACACAGGTGATCTGTGCAAAAAGCTCTCAAAAAATATCACTAGAGGAGCTTCTAATATCCAGAAGGTTACTGTGAATCTGTCAGGAAAGTAGAAAGCAACCAGGAGCTGTTTCAAGACTATGTACCTGCAGTTTGCCCAGCTCTTTTCTTAATGAGTTGGAAAAGTCATGACACATTTCTGCATGGAAAAACACATCATGACTTTTTCAATGGCCCAACAGATTCTTTGAACAAACTTGGTATCTCAAGTCCCAGTTCATAACAGGGAGTACAGCACATCACAAGAAAGTGGGGAGCCCGTCAGAGGCAGATATATTGGTAGCGTAGTGTGGGAGAAGACAGAACAAGTTACTCGGCAGATATGGGGAAAAAAAATCATCAGCAACCTGAGGTAAATAATTATACCTCGGAGCTGAGGGATCACTTTATAATAGACACAAATAAGTCATATTTATTATAGCCCTTTACATTTTATGAAATGTTTTACATACATCAGAGCTCACTGGATATTTGTAACAACACATTATGAATATAATACTAACTTTCATCATGAAAAAGTGAATTATATTGAGCATGCTCTTAAGAAGGCAGGGAGGTATACTAACATACCTGAAAGATTTGCATCAAAAATAATTACAAGTTTTAAATTTTGGCACTTAAGAGATATGCATTAGTTAACCAACAATTCATAAATATGGTTTTCCTTCATGACCAACACGAGGTGTTACTGAGTGAATTTTGACAGCGCTCAGTGATTACTGGTTATTAAATGGGGGTGATTGTCATCAGTAAGTTATCAGACTGACTGCTTCTCTGCTAAATACAAGTTTAACAGATAGTTATGGGTGCCAGTGTCATCTATTCTGACTAATATGGGAAATGCTAGGCCTCTAAAAGGTTCCCAGTGTTTTCCCTATATTGCACTTTCTAGAGAACACAGCTTTTAACAATGATGCAATGTGATCTTGGGTCTAGACACAGGAGCAAGGAACATGTGATCTGCCTTTCCCCGTTTGACCTAAAATTTTGGTATAGTCTCTTCTTGGGTACAGCAAAGAGAAACAACAAAATATACATGTGCTCTAGACTTCTGAGAAAAAAGATCACATACTTTAAAAAGTCTAAAATAGAGGTGTCTTCTGCTTTAGTCACTTCGTTTTCATAATCAAAAATAAGGAACTAGTGTATATCTGATGTTCCTAACTCATTTGACTTAGCATTGCCATAATATACCATTATGTAAAAAACTTCTTAAAACAGGAGAACAATTTATATTACGTTTAGCAAGTCATACTATATTACCAATTATAATACATTTACTAATTATCATGATAAAATGACTAAATAAAATCTAATCTGATTAAAATACCTCAGGTTAGATTTTATATTCTAAATAAAATGGGACCTTGAAATGGTAAGATAATTTCCTCCAGTAACATAGCATTCCTGATGCCCTTTAATTCTTTGATTAACATCCCCTGATGACTTTTTTGATCATGACCATACCTCAAGGAGGACAAAGTTTCTTTTGTTGAGTTTGCTGGCTGTTAATTTTTCATTCTCTTCTGTGTGGCTCTGTTTTTATACAAGGCTATTTCACTTTCACTTTCATTTTATAGCTTATTCTGCTTGAGGTTTTTAAGTTAGGAACGGGGTATACATTAGTCCTGACTATGATATTTTCACGAAAACTTTCAATCTTGTACATGCTCTTTCACATGGTACAGAAAGCAAACCAGCTCTGTGATTATAAAAACAAAACAAAACAAACAAACAAAACTTCCAGAATATATTAAACAAATGAATTAACAAGTCATTTTACCATCCTTTACAAACTAAAGGGCAAAATGGTAGATCGGAAAGCACAAGTTTGGACTGAAGCAAACAAAACAAAGTTGGGTTTGAATCCCAGTGCTGCCACCTACTGCCAACTCTGTGACTTAGGGCAAGTCACTTAATTTTTCTGACCCACCATCACCATTTTTCTGACACTCCAAAGTAAACTGGGGCTCATTCTGCCTATCTTGCAAGGTTTTTCTGAGGATTAGTAGTAAAGTGTGTACATTACTTGACACGATAGGTACTCTATAGTCATTAAAGAAACATTGGCTGAATTTAGAGTTGGGCAGCAAGCGGGTCCAGCATTTGTCATGGAACTCTTTCCAAAGCCGACAAGAAATACAGTCTTCTTTAGAATATCAATAATCATTGTACTCGGTAGCTTATTTTAAATGACATTATTTGGTGCTCTTACCTCCAAAACTGCTTTCTTTTAAATATGTGCTTTTTAAAAAAAGCTCATGGGAAGCGTAGGTTTTCACTGTATTTTAGTGGTAATTTTTTCAATGACTAAAAAAAGGTCCAACTTTTCAAACATCTGTGGTGAAATGATCTAATGTTTAAAATGTGTCCTAGGGCCAACATTGTTCTAAGTAGAAATAAGGTCCGTAAAAGTGTGTGAATGGCTAGTCAGTAGATCCTACAAGGAAATGTCATTTTTATTCATGTATTTGAGCTGTTTAGACATTTCATATTTGAACATGATTTAACCAATACTTAAATCATTCTTATGGCTAGAATTCTCAGCACCCACTCCCATGCCTTCCTTTTTCAATCTATTGGTCAATTTAAGGATATTCACAATAATACAATTTAAAGACAAAGTATTCATAAGTCCATGTTTTTAACAGCCAGCACAATACAGTAGAAATTACCCTGAGCAAGGAATTAGGAGACTTGAACTCAAGTCCTGGCTCTGCCACCAACTTAAAGGATGATCCTAGTAAAGTCACATAAGATATTTTCTACCTCTAAAATTGCTTTTTACTTTTTTTTTTTTTTAATAATCAAAACATCTTCTGGAACTTGTGTTAAGTACTACCTAGGTACAGCAGTATTTACTGCTGTTTGTGTTTTTCAAACTGTGATCTAGAGACCACCTGAATAAAAATTATTGGGGTTCCCATTAAAAATACAGATTCAGTTCTCTCCCTGGCTGAGTCAGACTATCCTAAGGCCCAGGTTTCTGTATTTTTCACAAGTGCTTCAATGGTTACAACACACCCCAACATTTCAGAACCACCAGTGTAAAAAGAATGATACCTAAAGGGCCAGGCTGGTGCAAGGCTTCACTTCTCTAGCCTCTGGCAAATTCCTTCTATCACCATGCCATTTGATATGGAGGAAGCTGGACAAAAGCTGCTTAGTCAACAGAGTGATCAGCCTCGATCCCTGCTTGATGCTTTTCCCTGCTGTGTACCATAACAAAACATAAAAAAGGTCTTTAGGGGAACACTTAGTCACCACCCTAGTTAGGACAATAGCTTAAAGAGGGCGGCAGTCCTCTCCTCATCCATGGTAAGAGAACTGGGCTGGCAACACTCAGACTAAGGATAAAAAACGAGTAAAACACCACCCTTTTACTCTTAATGCCTTTGCCACTCCAATATTGTTAACATATAATCCTGTGTGATTCAAATAATCTGGCAGAGAAAACAGAAAATCTAAGTCACACTGTTCTCAGCACTCTGTGGCCAGATACTATACTAATCTAATAAATATATCCCTTTCTGTAAAATAGAAATGACCACAACCCATTGCTTCTCCTTCTTTCCTTTTGGATATTGTCGATAGGATAAAATACCAAGTAAGGACACATGCTAAAGGTTTTAAATTCATACAAGTAAATTACAAAGATATTTGTGATATTTTTCCCTAGAATTTCAAAAAATCCTTTGCATTGTAAAAAATTTTGTATAATTTTAACGGAAAACTTTTAAGATATTTTGTTGTAAGATAAACAATGATGTGAATAATGCCATTATCTGTGCTCGATATAGGGTATGACAGTAATTTAAGAGGCCAAGTGTATTGATAAGTGAAGATTAATTTTTTTTTCAACAACCAGTATGTCAACATCAGACTTCCGGTTTTATTTCAATACCAGGGTCCGAGTTTCTCCTATACCAACCAAAACTCCTGCCAAATGTTCACAAAATTCACACCAAAATAAAAAAATAAAAAATAAAAAAAACAAGGAAGAAAGGAAGGAGGGGAGAAAGGGCAGGAGGAAGGAAGGAAGGAACTTGATGCACTATCATGCAAAATAACCAGAACTGGAGTTGAGTGGCACAGATTAGCAGGAGCAGAGGAATGCTGAGAAAGAAGATGCTGCATAGAGTCTAACTTGGAGATGCCCAAATGATGCTGGATGACCAAAGTACTCAGGTCACAGATGTGTTCATGGACCCATGAAAACCAGGATCTTGACCCAAACTTATAAGATCTTCTAAAAAAAAGAAAATACTTCACCTAAATTGAAGTAATTTGTAAGTCAAACACCAGAAGAGTTCCTTATTGATGTAAGCTGTGCCTAAAACTTTGGCTGATACAAAGAAACCCGTCCACTAAGGCACCCTGAGGCAATCTGACAATGTGTTGGGGAGAATTTTGTTGTCAGTACCACATCATTGTGAGAGTACAGAGAACGGATCACCCGCAGAGGACTGGCTTCTTTGGGCAAACAGTCAACAAGTTCACTACACTGTTTGTCAAATCCCAACAAGCGGATTCCATAGCCATGTGGGGAAGAAATCATTCGCCCATCAGGGCTGAAGCAAAGTTCTTTGATGTAACCCCTGCCTACATTGGCTTCTTCTATATAATGAGTCAGTCGTAGAGAACAGCGAGGTGAGACAGGTCGCACTGGAGCACCTTCTTGGAATTCATAGACGCAAGTCCACTAAGAGGAAGAGAAGGAAGATAAACCAAAGTTACAGAGCCCCAAACAATGTTACAGATATTCTTTATTTTTATTAAAATTTCATTTCTTTATTCATGATGGAAGTGCATGCAGGAAAGAGAGCAAGAGAGAGAGAGCAAGAGCAAGAGAGCAAGCTCCTCTACAGGATCTGGTCATGCTGCAATTCCCTTCCTCCATTCATCCCATTGGATCTTCAGGACTCACGTGCATGCACTATATATTTGAGGCTGACTGAGCTGGTGATCTGAATCATGGTCACCATGTGAGATATGGCTTCTCTTAATCAGTACACTAGTGCTATGTCACAGAGCTGACCCATTCCTTCCTTCCTTTTTCTTTTTTAAAAGTTTTTTTGTTTTTTTGTTTTTTTGTTTTTGCTACAGGGTATGTGCAACTCACCAGAGGGAGAGAGATAGGGAGAGAGAGAGAGAGAAAGAGAAAATGAGAAATCAACCCCCAGGGGGATGGCCATGCCACAAGCCCTTCTCCACTCTTCTCTTGGGAATTTGGGCATGCATGCATGTACATGTGCCTGGTATACTTCTCAAGCCACTGGATCCAGGGCTCAAATCACAAAGCTGGATCCAGCACCTTAACCTCCACATTACCTACTGGCTCCCTACTTCCTATTTTTAAAAAGCTCATCTGATTGTCAAAGCACACACTGTTCCAGGTAATCAATAGATGAATACTATTTTCTCCTCTCCCTACTAACAAAATTTGTAGGCCGCATACCTTTTTATCTTCATAAGTTGATATTCTGTGCTATGACACTTTTGTTCCCTGAGGCTATGACTTCTATAGTAGTATATTCCCTTTTCTTTTTTCTTTATTTAATTTAATTTATTATTATGTTTTAAAATTTGCTATAAGGTACATGTACTCACCAGAGAGACAGAGGGGGTAAGTGATAAAGCAAGCCGCCAGGTCTGAGACTTGAACTATGGTTGGCCTTGTGGGAGTACTGCACCTTAACCACCATGCCACCTGATGACCTGATGGCCTGTGCATTCCCTTTTCCAAGGGCTACAACAATCTTGATATTTGAAAAATTCCTGGGGCATATCCAAGTTCTAGACCTACATACTTTCCCTTATTACACATCAAAGGTTCCTCTCTTTCAGATGTGGCCAGTGAGATCCGTGGAATACGCTTGCCTTTCACAGTGATGAGAATCTTAAGTTCATTTAAGATTTTTACCTCTACTAATCAGTTTGGTTCCTTCCTTTCCCAGTGTTTCCTGTTTGGTTTATTATTTAATTTTTTTTCTTTTTTTTGCTGCTATAGGGGATGGCCATGCTGTAATCCCTTCTCCAGTCTCCTTTTTGGGGTCTTGGGCATGCATGCACACATGCCTAGCATGAGTTTTAAGCCACCAGGTCCAGGACTTAAACCACAGATGACTATGTAGGAGTACAGTGATGTAACTGTTATGCATCTGCTGGTCCCTCCTGTTATTTTTTTTTTAAAGAGAAAATTATAATACTCAATTGGCTTAGCAAACTGCTGCATTTAACCAGCTAGATGAAACATTTCAGTCCTATGTTTTATGTAAGTTATTTCTATTTTTAAGGTGAGATAAAGGAGGCAAGAATTCAGAGACTGAGCACAATCTGAGCTGATGGTGGCCTTTAAAGTACTTCCCAGTTTGCTACAACTAAGCAGGAGAAGAGTTTGCAGGGGATAAAGATATTAGGAAGCAAGGGAGGACAGAGAAACAGGAGGATGAGGGGTCGGCAGGTGGCACTGTGGTTAAGGGCGCTGAACTCCCACATGGCCGATCATGGATTGAGTCTCAAATCTGGTGGCTTGCTTTCTCCACTTTCTCTCTCTCTCTCTCACTCACTCTGTGTCTCTCTGGTCAAATTAAAATAAATAAATAAATAAAGTTAAATAAAATAATTATTAAAAAAAAAAAAAAAATAAAGAAAAGGGAGGCTCAGGAGGAAGGTTCTTTGAAGAAAAAAAAAAAAAAGATAAAGAAACAGGAGGCTCAAGGAGGAGGATCTCTGAAAGTGTGCCTCTGAATATATTTTGGCCAGTATCTAGCCTAAGGGCTGCACACATGGCAATGTCAATTTGTCTAATAAGCCCTGTTGAAGGCAAAGTATTACTGACCATACCTCTTGATCATCAGTGTTGCTTGAGCACCGAAGAAGAGTGGCCCAGCCCTTTGGGTGTAGCTGTAAAGATGTGATGCAGTTTCCACGGTCTCTCTCTCCGGGAACTTCTGGGGTTAAAACTTCAAGACTATTTCGTGGTGAAACTCCTGAGATACAAGAAAATGAGGATATGAGACTTGTTTTATCAAAAGATTAAGACAGTTTATCAAAGCTTTTATTTTGGCAGCTAACCTCCCATGCATTCATTCCTTAACCTGCCCTTTATGCTACTACATGTGGAAAGAACTTGGTACCCTCCAATGTATGGTATGTGAGTTTTGGGGCTGGGGATATAAGGAAAGAGTATGACTAGAACCAAAGAATCCAAATTCCTGCAGTGAGACTCACCAGTAACCTAAGGCTAAGGCATGAAACTGACTAGGATAGTTTTTATTTGGATCTACATTTCAGAAAGCTCTTTAAGTAAGAACCAAAGTTTTGTACATGGAAGGAATGTAGAAAAGTAAAAGAGAACAATTCTCATGTCAGAGGACCTAGTGCTCTCTAGTCCAGAGAAGGAAATATAGTTGGAAGCCATGAAGACTGCCTTTAAGTAAATTAAAGAATATGGACTTAGGTCCTCCAAGGATAGTACTAAAATGAACAAATAAACGAATAATCTTGCAGATGAGGATGGAAACCTTGCATAGAGGCATGTCTAACAAGGTATGGGAAACATAACCAATTATACATCTTCCTGGTACTCTACTACCAGGAATTCCAGCAAGTAAACATCAGTGGACATTTGTAATATATTTAATATATATGCACACCCATTATGTTTTCAGGTAACAAGAGGAAAAATGGAGCCAAATTTTTTTTCTCTTGTTAAGGTACTGTCATTTAAATGTAAGTCTTGAGTATTTGAAACAGAAATCAAAATTTCAAGATGAAAGTACAGTGAGATGTGTCAGATGGCAGTGGTACAAGCACGTGTTTCTGAAAAGTAAAATATCTCAAGAAGGAAAAACAGACATGGTATGCTTTATATATCTCACTCAGTGAAAGAGTTGCAGTCGACATTGTTTGAAGTAGCAGGTATAATAAATATTGTCACGAATTGTGTTAATTTTTGAAGTGGTGTGGATGCTAACTACTAGTTGTACAAAAATATGTTCAGGATCGTTTTGATACCTATATCTATAATAAAAAAATGTTGGGGGGTGTACAGATGAATTTCTGTTAAAAGCTGTTCCTGGCTGTTACATGTAACAGACGTGGTAAATATTTGTTTATGGTCTTTAACAAACCATGCATTTAAGTTTAAATGACGTCAACAAAAAGGAAACAGGTATATGGATATGTGACTTTGAGATTAAAGTTAGTCTTAAAATGTAAAACGTGTTCTCAAAAAAAAAAAAAAAAGACTTTTGAAAACCTGTAACAAAAGCAGAAAAGAACCCATTCCAAATAGGTAAGCAGTGGTTAGCTAGCAATGTTACTCAGAGGTTTCCCAGGAGCTGAAAAAAAGAGGGGGGACCATACAGGAACTGGAGTGGAAATAGGGTAAGAAGACTGGAGAGTCAAGGATCAGTAATTCACTTGAACCAGAGCTCCTTCAATTTTATTTGTGCTATATTTCTAAGAGTCCCCAGCAGATTTCATGTCAAAACTAGAGTTCTATGCTGAAATAAGTATTAAAGCCTCTGGTACATATGGCTATTATGTCTCCCTAAGGATGACACTAACAAACTGACATCCAAAGACCTAGGACTTCCAATATTCAGTGCAACTTCTCCTATAAGCCTCACCTTTTCCCACTTTTTTCCTCCCTCTTAATTTTCTTCCTTTCTTTTCCTGATCTCCTTATATATCACCTTTTCCCTTATTCTCAACTCTATATGGCATGAAACGATAATATATTTGTGTATCTTCTTCTTTCCTTTTTTTTTGGCCAGAGGGTTTGTGTGTTTGCCAAGAAGAGACAGAGAGGGGGAAGGGGGCAGGAGTGGGAGAGGTGGAGACTGAGAGAAAGCAATCTCCAGTGGGGTAGGGTCATATCGCAACGCCTTCTCCTCCATTTCACTACCCTGTTTGGAGTGCTTTCCAAGCTGCCAGGCTGAGATTCATACTGCTTGGTCACCCATGTGGGAGGCAGCTCCCTTTAATCACTAGGCCATGAAGTTGGTCTCAGTTTATGCTTTTTATGTTTACCACTGGCTAAAAACAAGCAAGCATGTTAGCTCTTCTTTTCTTCTTAAATTGTTTTTCTCATGGATGGTACAGTCAATCAATACAGATTTTTCTCAATAATTATTAGCAGCTTAGCTTGTTTCCCACAATTCAAGAAAAACAGGTTGATTTTGAAGAGAAAAAAATCAAATCAAAGGGAAAATGTCATGAACATTTAAGGGGAATGGGTTTTAACCTTAAGGTATGTAGTAGGGAGCTGGCAGGTGGCATGGTGGTTAAGGGCGTTAGACTCTCACATGTCTGACCGTGGTTCAAGACCCAGACCTAGCAGCTTACTTTCTCACTTTCCCTCTTTTTCTTGCTCTCACAATGTCCCTGTCTGGTCAAATTAAAAATAAGTAAATAAATAAGTTAAATTAAATAAAATAATTCTAAAAAAAAGAGTGTTGGGAACCAGCAGTTAGCGTAATGGCTATGTCGCTGGACTCCCATGTAGTCGACCGTGGTTCATGTCCCGGACCCGGTGGCTTAAAACTCACGCCAGGCGCGTGTGCGTGCGTGCCCAAGATCCCGAGAGGAGAATGGATTGTGGCGTGACCATCCCCCCTGGGGGGTGATTTCTCGCTTTCTGTCTCTATGTCTCTCTCTGTCTGTCTGGCGAGCGCACGCGCCCTACAGTGAAAATCGCTCCAAAAAATAAAAAAAGAAAGTGTTAAAGTGATTATCAGGTGACCTGTGGATGGTGTAATGGTTATATTGCTAGACTCCCACATAATCGACCATGGTTTCAGTTCCTGATCCAGCAGCTTAAAACTCTTGCCAGGAGTGTGTGCATATGTGCCCAAAATCCCGAGAGGAGAACAGAGGAGAGGGGTTTTGGCATGTACTTGCCTGGGGGGTGATTTCTAGCTTTCTGTCTCTCTAGCAAGCACACATACCCTGTAACAAAAATCTCTCTTTAAAAAAAAAGTGAGTATCTGTTTTCAACATCCAGAGTAAAGTAAATAAGCCATAAGTTAGGTTAGAAAGATTTCAAACCATTCTACTGCCATAGTAATCATGCAAGATAACCAGCACTTACCAGGTGAAGCTACCCAGAGAAAATACCAGTTAGCATCTGCTATAAATATTGAGGTAGAAACATGCCTATCTCTAAAAGGTGACCCAAAATGAAAAAAAAAAAAAAAAAAGACATTATCTGGTCATTAATGCACCATATACAAAGAGGAGGAAAAATAATGAATGCTATAAAAGCGTACATGTGAATTAACATGGAGATGGAGAGAAGGCTGACTTTGTACAGGTAAGGGGTAGAAGAGATAGGTAGGGCAACTAGTTAAAAAGGATGGTTGGGGAACAACTGGCAAATATAGAGTAAGGCCAAAGTGCAGCTCACTTTTCCCCATAATCCTTCTCAGGCTACTACACATTGCACAGACATGGAAATGGCAGGCAAAAAGCCTGCTGGGCTGGAACCAGGTGACCTTCACAATCACCTGATAAATTCATTTCTTATACAATTCTTCCACATGCATAATTTCATTTAATTTTCACAACAATCTTGACTGGAATTTATATATCCTTACTACTTCCCTCCAAACTAGACCAAATTAAATCTAGGTAATAAAACCGAAGTTCAAGTTCCATTACCACTGAAACCTAAGATATTCAACCCTGGAGATTCTGATTAGCTTTTAGAAAATGATGACTGAGAGATAAGAAAGAGCCTTATCTCTACTGACTTTTATTTTTTGCCATAGGGCAGGCGCCACCACGCCCCTGACTTTTATTTTTTAAAGTCAAACCAAAGACACCAAACCAAAGAAAGCTATTTGGTAGAATCTGTTGTTGCAAGATTATAAAATTCAACTTTTAACCTACCTTCTCTTTGTGAGGTTCGTGACATGTGTTTCTCAGAAGATGAATTAGATTCGCTATGATGACAAGGAGAACCAGAAATTCTAGGACCAGATGAACTTGATGAAGTAGTCAAATCTTGAAAATACAAAAAAATTCTGACAATAAATCTAGCATAACTCTGGTGGTGTCTTTTAACTTTCAATTATCTACTTCAATCATACTTATGAAATTGACCTGAAACATGGCCAGAAAAAAAAAATGCTAATATAGGGCCAGCAGGTGGTATGGTGGTTAGAGTGCTAGACTCCCACATGGTTGACCACGGTTTGAGTCCCAGATCTGGTGGCTAAGTGTCACACTTTCTCTCTCTCTCTCTAATCAAATTTAAAATAATAATGATGATGATGATGAATAAAGTTAAATAAAATAATTCTTTTTAAAAATGCTCATATAAAGCTGGCTTTATATTTAAGATTGAGGAAGACAGGACAGCTCTTTGAAGTATCTACCAAAGGCCTAGTCCCTTTCTAAAAACTTGCTTTTATATTAAAAACCCTTTAATGTGAAATAAAAATGAAAAAAAAAAAAACAAATGAGCACAGGAGCATCTTTGGTTCTTCATCATTTCTGTACTAAAATGAAAAAAGAAAATTAAATGAAAATGCAAACTGAGTGGTTCTGCCTATTTTTTAATGTCAGAATAGAGCAAACAGGCCCACTAGTGGGAACGTGAACAAATGCCTCTTTAAAGCAAACCAGAGGCCAGCTGGTGGTGCAGCAATAAAGCAACACTTTACCAACCATGTGGTAAGGTCCAGAGTTCACACCCCAAGGCTTCCCTATACTTGCTGGGTATATGCATTCATGTGTGCCTGTGGCTGCTGAGGCTAGAAGTAGATTGTTTTCTGAGGACCCCATTGGTAGTGCGAATGTACTCAATGACAATGACAAAACAATCTTTTTTAAAAATTATACTAAAAACTTCTATTAACATCCTTGAAATTAAGTGATTGTCTTTAAAATGTACTATGAAGCTTTATGTTGAGATTTTTGGAAAAAACAAAGTGAATATTAGATAGTTTAGTTTGACCTATTACTCCAAGTGGAAATTTCTAGTTCATTATATATTTTCAGTGGCCCCACATCTGTTAGGAATTCTTATTAATCTAATTTCCTAGTAAGTTATTTAGTATCATAATTACTTTTAGAAGACTTGAAAACCTTGGTTTTTGAGTCAAAAATGGCTAACCAGACTTTTTAAATCATTATTTCTCATTAAGCTAAAGTTGATGATCAATGTTTAACTTTTGAAAAAAAAAGGTAATTCTGAATCTAAAAGGATTATATTCACATATTTATGAAATCCCTTGAAATAAATTGGTAAAACTTAAATTTCTACTTTTAGCAGATGAAATTGAGCAATTACAGTAAAATTATTACCAAGAGAGCCTTCAGAAGTGGCCCTATGCATGTAGGAGAAAGATCCCAACCATTTGAAGTAGGCTTTAAAAAAAAGATGGGGAAGTAGACTTTCTTCTAAGGGAGCCATGAAACTACTGAAATAGGATCTCACAGTGGGGCAAAAAGACTGGACTCGACACCTGAAGCCGCCTTTTTTTTTTTTAACCTGCCAAAAGGTGCCTGTGCTTGCCAAAGAGAGCCAGAGACAGGAGGCAGAGAAGAGAAAGAGGGAGAAAACAACCCCTAGTGATGTGGTTGATTGTGTCAAGCCATAATCTCTTCTCCATTTCTCCAACCTTTGGGATTTGGGGCACATACACACATATGCACTGGGCATGTTTTTTAAGCCTCCAGGGGCCAGGATTCAAATGATGGTTGGTCAGCTATATGGGATCTGGCTCCCTTAACAAGGCCACAGGTTCAGCCCTGTGAAGCTACTTTTTAACAGCAATTTATGAATGACTCTTTCCAAATGCTTTAAAGTCTTTTTTTTCTAGGTTTGTGTTCATAAACAGAATATTACAAATGATGGTTATGTTCCAAAACCAGTCTTCTCTTTCTCAAAGGCAGATAAAATATAGTCTCTTCATCATATAATGTTGCTAAAACAGTAGTTTTTCTGAACCCCAATTCCACTTAAGTTTAATGGAATCAGCAAAAGCTATAGAGCTTCAGCAGTAGAGTATTTCGGGTGTC